ACGCCCGAACCACGGAAAATCAAGGTCTCGCCTGGCTTCCATTTTCAAGAGAACATCCCGGGCTATCAGCTCATGAAAAAAAATCAATACAATCCTATTGGAAAATTCGCACACACGACCTGGTTTTTCAAAGATCTCCTGGAAAACGAAGTTAGGAAATTTTCCTGAAACTGACTCTCGCTTATGAAAAGATGTCTTAAAGTGTCCTCTTTCTAATGCTGAAAACCGCACTTCATTATCTATCTCCCGCGAGGAGTTATTCAAAAAGCAACCGACTGCACGACCATTTGGTACGGATAGTAGTTTTATCTGTTTTTCATAAGTTTCTTTCAAGATTCTTCCCGGATTTTATTTGACATGCCCTGGACTTCCGTTAGACAAACGACAATGTTTAGCAAGTGATTATATGTTAACCAATGGCTTTTTTTAATCATCCGCTCATTCATTCAAGGAACACGTACCTGGACAAAAATAAATCTTGTTTGATTGGTTAGAATCATTTAAAGTATTTGAGTTCGAACTCGAGAATCGGTCACATTTTGACTGATGAAACGACACGTACAGTAAAATGAATTTGGCTACTACATTCATTACGATTAAACCGATCATTAAGCTATATAAAATTTGATCTCGTGCTTTTGCGTCTCTCCTGATGACAATAAATGTTGTGCACGCACTCACAAGCACCAAAAAGATAAATACAAAAATAATGAGTTTTGGTATTGAGTGAAACCAAACGAAATACAGCTGAACAGTTGTAATGGTAAGAAGTACTAATAATAAAACCATGAGAACGAACCATTTTTTTGCCTCAGAGAACAGTTTGCAAACGCTTAATGAAGTTGGATGTCGGTGAAACACAATTTGATCAGTTGTATTCTCATCCAGAACCGGTTCATACTGAATGGCTAATTGGTCATCAATTGGGTTTGATATATGCATCCACAAAAGTTACTCGACTGCCCTATAAAAAAGATTAATATGGCAGAGCCTGCTAACAAGGCTGCACATTCAGTTCCAGCAGGCAAAATTCTCACGAGCAGACCTGTGCAGGTCTGCAGGGAACATCGTGGCAGACCATGGAAGACCCGCAACAGACACTATCACATACCTCTGCAGAGAATGCAACATAGGTATGTGACAGTGTCTGCTGCGGGTCTTCCATGGTCTGCCACGATGTTCCCTGCAGACCTGCACAGGTCTGAATTTTGCCTGCTGGAACTGAATGTGCAGGCTTGTTAGCAGGCTCTACCATATTAATCTTTTTTTATAGGGTGTTTTAAGCGACACAGTTCTTCACTTATTTTAATTTTTAACTGATACTATTTTGCTCTCTCTTTATGATTGATTAATGTTTTTCTATTTTATTTTTGGATTCACTATCGCGAAAAATGAGATGTTTTGCGTATTATATTACGGAGTACAATGATCAATCATAAGAAGAGAACAACTTTGCATTTTGATTTTTTAGACTGGAGTGAAAAATTTCAGTAACTTGATATTGTTCTATTTTTTCAAGATACACTGGATAATGAGACTCAAGCAATATTGTTTGGTTATCGTAGCATACGAGTGTCAGTTGGACTCAGTGAGACTAGATCTGTAATTTATATTATTGTCGCGGTAGTGCAGAATATTAATCAAAAAGTCAGGTTCATTAATTAGGATGTTAGCTCTATTTCTAAACTTCTGGCTACTATTTCATTTCTACTGTGAAATTACACTAATAGTGAATTTAACTCCATGATAATTTAGTTTTAGTTAATATGTTATTTAGTGCAACAAGTAACGCTCGCTGGATGTGAATTACCGTGTGAATCACACAGTATCGCTCCAGTTTGAATTATCTGGCCTCCAGTTGCACTTTTCTGAAAAAAAACGAATGAAAGAGGATTCAAAACTTTTCTAAAGAAGGTTTCAAGTAACAAAAGAGAAATGAATTTTTCAGCGTCAACGTTATTTCGGGTCAAAACCTAACTTATCAAACATTAAGCGCCCATATCTAATTTTCGTGCTGCTAAAAAACTGAAGTTTGTAATGTTTTCCAACTAGGAGATCTTTGGAAGAACTCGGTCGTGTGTAAGCATTTCCCAATAGGATTGTATTGATTTTTTTTTCCCTGGCTGATCGTCCAAGGTGCCCTCTTCAAAACGGAGTCAGATAAGGCTTTGATTTTCTTTGGTTCCGGCGTTGTATCGGATTTCCCACGGATCCTGGAACAGGCATCCGGCCACCACTGGTAGTTTTGAAGACAAATTGATTATGAATAATCGACCATGCTGAGTTTCTTGTTAATAATAGCTTGGAAAAAAATTTTTAAACTCCACTATTATGCAGGCTATGAAATACTCGCTCAAAACCTACGAAAAACCTATCCTATCAACACAAAAATTATGCCATCAGAAAGTAGGCACTTTGGGCTATTCAACCATGTGCTTTTCTCAAAATCGATTTTTTTTTTGACGAAAATCGGCATTTCTGACTCGGAGGGAGCGAAAGGCGGGCTCACTTAAATCAATGGAATGGATTTGAATTTGTTTTTAAGGGTCAGTGAGATGGTTTTATTTGTTAATTATCATGTCAGTTATACGGTTTTGTTGAATATGGAGTGATTGAAATTACCCCAATTGATTGGATAGCGTGCCTACATTTAGCCCAAATAAAGTTCTTTCTTTTAATGTAGTCTCTCATTAATTACGGAATTCGGTGATTTCACGAAAACAGAATGAAGAAAGTGAAAGTTGAATTTCTCCTACGAAACTGATCCAGTAACGATGAAAATCTTTTTATATATACAGCTCTTCTATCAACTGATCTCAAATCATATTTCGAAGAATGGAAATTTTATTAAAATGAATAGCTGCTATTCCATGGCGTAACCAGGATTTTTAGGTTGTTGGCCGTGCTTCATAGAGTCAAAAAAACTCGATGGGCCTAAGTGGGTCGAACGTGTCCTGCTTAGGCAGGAAATCTTTCCAAATGTTGTCAATTCTGGTGCCGTCATTTTCCGTGCTGTTCGTTACCGTGACTATTTCACACTACCGCATATTCTCTACGATAGTGAATACAGAGGGAAGCCTGGGCTGTGGTAGTCCAGTCACCAAACATGCGAAGAAATAAAGAATAAGCACATGCAATAATGTATTTTTTTCAGTTTGGGACCTCTTTTCAGAAAAGTTTTGTAACTTCAGAACTGAAAGGATTTGAAACGAAAAAATTATAAAATATAGTTAATTTTTTGATGGCGAATCAAATGGGATAGTTTTTATCGAAATATAAGTTTATTTTCTTCGTTTCCTGTCCCATTTGACTAATGCTCGATGGTCTGGCGACTGACTCTTGAGCTCTTTAAACAATTTAACTGTTATGTCTAAAATGTTACCAAAAAGAGATCATGAAGATAATATATATAGTTTCGAGGTCAATAAATAGCATATAGCAACTTAGATATATTGATACTTGAGAATAATGTAATTTATTATTTGCTTTCAAGTCTTTTCTACATAAAACCGTAAAACATTTTTATTTAGGACATAATAAAAAAATTCCGTTGTTTTAAGGCTTTTACCTTTTTGTCGTAGTCAGTATGGTTGAGTTTACTAATCAACTCATACGCATGGTTGTTGAATTTTATCAAAAATTTTAGCTATTTTCGCCTTTTGTTCTTTGTTTCTACTTCTATAGTCCTACAAACTATTTGCCAGTGCTTCTGATGGTAAAAACTGTTGGAGTTTCCCTAACTAATTGATCGGATATGGTATGAAAGTCAAAAAAATTAGCTGTTTTCGATGACAGGAACGTTTTTCATTTTTGATGAATATTATAAAGTCTTTTTGATTGTTCATGCCAAGTACACCTCACAAACAAAGCATTCTGAAAAGATTCTGTTCATGAAAACTTCTTCACAGTACTTGTCTCCACCAGATAAGATATTTTTCTCGCTTTACTGCACTCTTCTTGTTTCAAATGTATTATATTTATCAAGTAAAGAAAAATTTCTCGATATTTTAGGGTGAACGGATTTATCACCCGTAGTTACACCTATGCTGCTATCTTATGAAAGAAACGCAAGACATGTTTCGTGGTGAATAGTAAGGTGACATTTCGAGTTTTTCGACCCGAAAAATTTTTTCCAAAAAAACGAAAAAACACATATTCATGAGCTCGATGCCCTTTATCGAATGGTGTATAAAAAATAAAAAAATAAAATAAATTTCATGGAAAGTCTGCTTTCTGAGTACCTTACTCATTCTGACCCACATTCTGGAGTAGACTAAATCTGTTCATCAGGAAAGACAAGTTTTATTTTTCATTCTATCACGAATGAATGTCGATGAAACTGAGCAATGAGAAAATTCAACAACCAGGAGAAAACAGCAAAACGTCTTTAAAACCAGCTCTTAATATCAGCAGAATTTTTATCATAAGGAAACTCTAAAATTAGAGTGATCTAGTCAAATCAGTAGATTCGTGTACCTGCACTGTAAAAAATAATTGCGAGATTAAGTGAAAAAAAACGCAAAAAAGTGGGACATAATCCACAATAACATGGAATATTGTGGATTATTGCGCAACGTATAGTTGACTGCAATTTTCTCTTCCTTAACCCTTTGAAATCGGCTTTCATAGAATGAGGACTGCATAGGTAGATAAACAACACGGCGTAAGCTTCATTCATTCGCTAAATGCGGATCGATCCGCGCTATTTTCAAAAAATCTTTAATGGAATAAGGTAAATACGATTAATCAATGGATCTCACAGTCGGAAAGTTATCTTTCTCTAAACAGGACTGATAACACTTAGGGCGCTGTTAGAAAGGTAGATGAAACAAAGACAGTGCGTGACGATAAACAATAGTTTTATTCATATGTATTACAAATTTATAAGTAAAACCACATCATGACGAAACAAAAGTATTAAATCTAAAATGAGACTAAAAGAAAAAAATAACGTAATATTCATTTATAGCGCGTATAAAACAGAAAAATAAGGGTGAGATAGTTCTTTTAAAAATTTCTCGTTCCAACGGATAATCGGAAATAATGAGTAATACTGAATGGGATTTGGACCGTGTGGACAATAAGCAATTTGTGCTGTCGCATGTCCAACTAAATTGCATAGTATTAGTACTTTTCAACGTATAACACACATTAAAGTTCTGCAGCACCCTATTGACAAACAATTTCAAAGATCGGCTTTCTCAATGGTTAAAGAAGAATTTCTCCCTCTAAGATCCATTGTAATCGCCATTCCTTTACAGAGACCACCTCTAACAAGTAGAATTTCTATTATCGACCTGTCAAAAGTTTAAATGAAACTAAGTCATCCAATACAAACATAGGCTACCAGAAGCGCTACAGTGTTCTATTTACTTGATTGAAACTAAGACTGCAGTAATATAAACTAGTTATGAGCGTGAAAATTTGACTCCATACACTTAAATTGAGCTGAGACAATTTAGACGACAGAATATATACATCTACAAACACTTCTCTCTAGATTAGCTTTTTGGCATCAATGAAACTGCCATAATACAAGCTATATAATGAAAATGACTAGTATACACAATGTTCATGGAAAAATAATGTCTTTGCTTTTGCCACTTTATTGCGCTATATAGTGAGACGTTGCGATTCTTCACAATATTCCACATTATTCTACTTTTTCCCGATTTATGTCGCTTTTATTTTTTACAGTGTGGTCATTCGATGGAAAAATTTCGGCGAGAATTCTGCGTGCAAATCAATATTCAAAAAACTCTTTTTGTTCCGCAGGAATTCTGATTTTTCGGCATAAAAAAATCATGGATTCAGTCATAGTTAATTAAAAGTTATTGGTAAAACAAAAATTAGTAGGAATTGTTAACCCGTTTACGGAGTGCTCAATCCATAAATACGTGTACAAAAGCAAAATAAGTAAAAGTTGACTTTTTTAAAAAACATGATGCAACGACAGCCAGAGAGATAATAATATCAGAAATCAGCCTAAATTTATCTGAAAGAAAAACATACTTGATAACGTTTGATCCAGTTATAACAACAAAAGGATTCACAATGCGTGATACTTTAGTAGTTTTGCTCTTAGGCAACGGGAAATGGGATTAATTTGTATAATGGTCGTTTAAAACTTCGCTGTTTTCCCAAATTTATCGTTCGTTTCGCAAAGAATAGGACCAATTGACAATTATTACAATGCGCAGCCTGTATATCGGCTAAATTTGGGAAAACAGCGAAGTTTTAAACGACCATTATACA